TTTCCACCAAGTGAAATAACTCACTTTTTATGATTATTATTTTTTTGGAAAGGTATGGTTCTCAAACAGAAGAGCAAAGTGGAGGCGAGAGGAAAAACTGCGGAACCAGCGTCGTCAGGCCAACAATTCTTCAAGTCACATTCCCATCAGCAGTAGCTTCAGCACTAGTGTGTACCAGGCCATTCCACAGCCCACCACACCCGGTAGGTCCCCATCAGTTACGTTATGTATGCTCAGGGAAAAAATAAGAACCAACTTTTTTATATGGTAATAATGGGATTTAATTGATAATCACCAAACCAAGAACACAGACACCAAATTAACCAACCATTTACACACTGACAAACTGTGTTATACTGTTAAAGACAATCCATTATAACCCCATAACGCTAAGCTCACTCTTACAGACCACTGAACTAATTGTAACATGCCCTTCCACAGTATCTTTCACCTCGGGGTCAATGCTCGGTAGACCTGACTCTGCACTCACAAATACCTACAGTGCACTGCCTCCTATGCCCAGCTTCACGATGGCAAACAACCTACCTATGCAAGTAAGTACACACCAGCACGGACATGTAGCTTCTTAATAAAAGATTAGTTAGTCTCGTGAAAAATACAGAAAGAATAGGTTATATACCAAACAGTTAAACCAGTGGTTGGCTAATGGAACATTCTCTTCCCCTATAGCCCAGCCAGACCTCCTCTTATTCCTGCATGCTGCCTACCAGTCCACCAGTGAACGGTCGGAGCTACGAAACATACACGCCCCCTCATATGCAGGCACATATGAACAGCCAATCAATGAGCACTTCTGGTACCACCTCAACAGGTAGGCAGAAAAGTTCACTATGTATGACTTGTGTTCTTTCCTGTACTCTGCCACCGCATACTGTAACATGGGGGTACCATTTATTCACCCTATCTTCTCCCACCCATTTGAAAATGCTCTCATTGTCTGCTAAGATATCTTTCCATCAATTATATCTTTGTTGCATGACTGAAGCTCATTTCGCCATCACCGTCTTTACGGCGCCGTGTCAGCCCCGACACTCCTGCCCATAGTTTAGTTCCACCCCATTAGAATGCTGTTACCGAGAGCCATATATACCAGTTATAGTCATGAAGAGTTAATCATGCATAACCACATTTCCTCTGTGCTAAATTGCTAATTAATTTGATTCATTTGCCCGTTGTAGCCTCTCTGTTTAAATGCCATTGCTGCAGCTTTCAATTTATTGAGCCTGTGAGTGTTTTACTGTGCAGCCCGTGTGTTGTGATTTTGCCTACCTATTTTGCACAAAAGGTCGCGTTCACATGTCACAACATACTAAAAGCATAGCGCAAGTCTGAGATGGATGCCAGGCTAACATTGTATGGTAAAAGTGGGAGATATAATAGAAAAAAATATTATATTGCAATTGTAGAATTACAAGTATATTGTCTATATTACTATTAAAAATGCAAATAGAGAAAAAAATCTCCCAAACAAGGTAGTGATTTAAGGGCACATTTTAGCACATTTCTGATTGTTGTTAAAATATCATCTAAATATTGTTATCATAACAATGCAAATACAGAGATATTAATTTTGTCAATAAGAGCATGGTGAGTAACAAATATAGAAAATGTCATAAATGGTAGGACTATTCAGTCACACAGAACATTAAATCACAGATAGTTTTAGCAAAACTGAAAATCAAGTCCTTGAAAAATATTCCACCAAACATTTATCTTTGCCCTCAGATTTTCTACAATTTCTAAAATGTGAATACAGCCATTTGGGGTCACCATTCTAAATATGCATGTTTAATTATCAACATTCTTGGGCAACGCTAACTTACTATACTACGTTTCTTTCACTAATGTATTGTTCATACTTGTGTGTGCAGGACTCATCTCTCCTGGAGTGTCTGTCCCTGTCCAAGTGCCAGGGAGCGAGCCTGACATGTCTCAGTACTGGTCAAGACTACAGTAGAGAGAAGAGCTACTTGACTCTTTGAGCATTCACTCCGCTGTTGCCCCTCCGGCTTCAGGACACCCACTGCACGCAGGAGAGCTAGAACAAAGCCAAGCAAGAGTGGTTGGAAAAAAGGACACATGAGGACTCTTATGAGAGCTTTGGGACATTTGTATCCAGCGGGACTGTGTGCTGTTGTGTAGCTCAAGGCACATTCACAAACTGAGGACTTTTCACGGACCGAAGCGACAGGAGAAAAAATATGGACCTCTGTAAAGTGCCCGGTGTTTTTATGGAACAAAAAACTTACCTGTTTCTTTTTCTATTTCCAACTTCAGTCATTGTTTCCTTTTTCTGGTGTGTTAGTATATGACCATTTGTATGTTAATATAAAAAACAGGATAAAGTACTGATAGATGGCCTGCTAGAAAACCATGGTGGTCTTTTGTGGTGTGTGCAAAGGAGAGAGTTGGGAGATTCTGCCATGACTATCGTTTTAAATCTGCTTATATCAAGACTTTCTACCAAGCCTTTTTTGCATGATCTCTGGACACTGGCATATCATTAAAAGTTGCATTGGGAAGATCTTAACGAAATAATGATCCTATCATGTACAACATTAGCAGAAGAATCTATGTCCAACTGATGCTGAGAGGCCTCAGAGAATGGAACCTCTGCTTGAACATTTGGGATCGAATCTAAGTATACAAAAACAGGTCTAAAAATAAAACACATGTAGTAAATGGTAGACTGGGTCTTCATTATAAGCTTGTTTATGTCAAAATGTAAAGTACTTGTCTTCCCTATAGAAATCTGAAAGAAAGATTTCACCAATATTTTTTTTATAACCCCAAAAATATTCTATAAATGTTCCATGCATCATGAAAATACATTTCTTTAGGGTCAGGTACAATTTGTCTATTAGCTATAGTTGTATTATAGTGTCCTATGGTCAAAAATGTGCAACTAAAATATTTAATTCCTATAAATATGATTAAACATTTGCTTGACAGAGTTCTAATGTGTTTGGCAGTTGTTTACAAGTACATATCAGATTTAATCATTGTTGATTGTAAAACAGACCAAAGCCTTTGTATTTCATCTAGTACACAATGTTTTTTTTAAGATATTAGTCTTGTGTTGCAAAAATTTTGTAACCATATTCTGTTTTGATTACACTGGCTTCGAGTTGGTAACCCGCAGTCTATATTTATAATTGACGACCATGGGAGGGTTTTTCTAGCATCATCTGTCATGCTCTTCTTGAGTTTTTGCGTTTTTAATGTGTATGTAAAAACATCAACACATAACTGGGTTTATGTCTGAGCATTGCTTCTGAGATAAACGTCAACACACTGTCTCTTAAATATTTCAATTTAATTTTATTTAAAATGGAGCTTTCTAAATGTATTTTGTGAGAACTATAAAACATTTTGTACAGTAAAATTGTGTCTTAAAGAAATGTTTTTGTCTGTTTAATATAGCAATATAAAAGAAATTTCTGACATTCTAATCTATATATGCTACTGCCAAACACTACAACTATGGTACTGTGCCCAGCACTGCAAACCTGACTAGATGTATGGTCCAACACAGACCACACAGCGCAGACACCATTGCATGTTGAGAAAGGTCAAGCAATTCACCATCGCGGCCTCTTGTTTTAGTTGAGTTACAGTGTGGTATAAAAATACAGGGCCAATGAGGAGGGGGAGGGAGTGCAAAAGAGAAAAAGTCATAGAATAAAGCAGTCAGTGCCTAGAGCAAGGCAGAGGAGCAATTGTGTGGCAGAGTGAGTTATTTTGCTTCACTTGCCACATCAGCAGGGGGGTGCTGTGTGTGAGTGCATTTGCCAGTGTCTATTGGAGAAAAAGGGAACAAGAGCATCTAAAGGGGGGCATGTCCAGGAGAGTGAGGTCAGGTAACAATCACACAGCATGCACCACCACCTAGTATCCCACCAAAGTGATTAATTGAAAATCACATGTCACTCACAGCTTAACAGACTAGCCTGAGCTCTGCACATGAATGAGTTGGCTTTTTTTTTTTTTTTTTTTTTTTTTTTTTTACACATGCAGTGCAAAAATTCTTTTAGAAAGTACAAGTAAAAATATTTTGTTTACACAGACAGAAAAGAACAATCATCCACATTCTTAATAACACAAAAACCCCTGACTCACATTGGAAAAAATCTGATGAAAATACAAGTGATTCTAAACTGCCTTAATCCTGACCAAGATTAATATTTTTTACCCCAAAATAATAAACATCTGAAAATGTTGTTACCAGCATTGTCTATATAATTTTGGGCATTTTTTTTTTTTTCCTTTTTTCAATTTAGTTCCTCACAGAAGGGAGAGGCTGGTTTTGAGAGTAGGACAGAGAAACACAGAGGAGAAGCATTAATTATTACACACAAAGAATGAGAGAGGGAGAGAGAGAGACTCGAAATGCAAAAAAGATGCAATTAGAGGCTGTCTAAATAATACACAGCCCCAGGATTAAAAGGTTCAAGTAATTCAGGGTTGGTACAATGTCAAGCAATTTAAGTTTTTGCAAAAGTTTGTTAAAGAACTATGTGTAGACATACAGACCAGGAAATCCCACAGCAGCAAAGCTGTGCATCTAAATGTGAGCAGTAACAATCAGTGGTCATGTGTCAGCTTTGTATAAACAAGAAGATCTTTAACCCTGGAAATGAATTATGTCTAGCTACATGCCCCATGTACCACTTGCAGTTAACACATTATGGTCTTAGACCAATAATTGCTTTACAATGCAAATGGTTCTAACAATACATAACAATACTTCCCCTTGTATACTTTGCATATTTTTAGAGCAATTTTAATTATTTATACATGCATATACACATCTGTTTATGATATTATTCATAAAATATTATGTTATTGTTCATAAGATAGTAAAATGGTGATCAGAAACTTTTGGACCGACTTCAAAATTGATGTGACTGCATTGACGTAACTGTGGCACAGAGAGAGATTTAGGTAAAAAATATAAACACAGGGAAACAAATAACATGTCCAAGTATGTTCGTAAAAGTTTATTTTCAAAAGTATACTCAAAATGTGTGGTCTCAACAGGGTTTACCCACAACACAAACAGACAACAGCTTCTGTTGTTCACCTGTATAAGTGCTGCATTGCCCGTTCGCTCATACAGCCAATACAAGCTATTCATGCATAAAGCTGTCAGGTAACACTAGCTTTCTCTCAACCATGTGCTGCAGATAGTTACTATTTCAGCTACTTTTACGGGCAAATATATTCAACCTGGCACCAGAGCTAGACTGAAACATACAGAGAATTTTATTTTATGTTGTTCTGTAATTGTCAGTGTCACCACTTGACCTAATTTGTTCTTTTGGGCTTGTCATAGCAAAGCAGCTCATCCAGCAAACACGCTTGATGAGGTGTGAAGCTTGTACCCAAATCAAGCTTTTCTCCCTCTGCCCACGCTCTCCGCTCAGTGGAGCTGGTTCAATAGGACAGGTGCAGGGTCAGATGGACAGCACTGTCCCAACCCGAAGCAAAGGGGTCCCATACAAACCATTCACCACTTCTTCACATAGCACCTCATGTTGCCTTAATAATCAACTAGGGGAGATAATACAAAGTTATTATTTACAGAAAGTTATTTTTTGAAGAACGGCACTGTTTTTTGTAATAAACCACATTCTTCATGTTTCGGAGTAGCGCAAAACCACCCCTATATTGCATTTATAATAATATGACATCCTCAGGAATAAAATCCACCCTGTTCAATTTGTTTAAAGTCCACTGATTATTGTAAATACCCCGTGGGTGCTTAGTATTGTCCCCACTCCATGTTGTGGTAAAGTCCCACTTGACATTAAGTGGAAATAGATGAAACAGTGAAGAGAACCAGGGCCTCTCAGAAATCCAGGTGTTTGTTTGTGGTGGAGCCACAGGCTGAAGCTGCTACGGCCACTCCGGGCACCTCCCCTCGGCTCACGCGACTCACTGTCTCAGACAGGTCAGGAGGCAAATGCAGTCTCTACAGTGAGGACAGGCAAGGGTAGAATATTAGTGCAGCTCCTACGGATGAAATGAGACACAAACACAACAGTGGGATGCACGTACAGTAGACACTACACTCCAGTGATGTTTATTCAGCCCATGTTGGCCTGAAATTGCATTAGATGCTTCAGCACTCCCTTTAGCACTGGCAGAATGGAGTAAACCTGCTAGTGTGCTGCTAAATGCTTCAGAGAACTTTAGCTCTGTTACAGCTCACTGGGAGTGTGGTGTTCAAGGGTTGTGAGCACCAAATAACCTATAAGGCAGTGATCCCTACTAGGACCACTCGTAAACATACTTTTTTTTTTTTTTAAAAAGGAGGAAGAAGACAAGGGTGCTAGCAACAGTGCAAGTCTAAGGGGTAAGGGTATGTGTATTTTGCAATTTCCCAGGTTAATTGGCTCTAAATGTTTTATAGTAAAACACAGAAACATACCAATAGACAATAGAAAGAGCAACATACATCATATTTTTCTCTGGGTCTCGGTCAGAAGTGGATGGCCCATGGCTCGGTTGCTTGAGCCCCATGCAGTTTATAAGGATATGCATAAGACATTTAATTTGTCATATACTCGGTCATTAACATTACATTTTTTCCTTTTAACAATTATGCTTACAGCACAGATATAATTTGCCTAGTTAGTTCAGTAACATTTTTCCTCTGAAGAGAGCTTATCAGACCAGCTGCCCTTGTGTGCCAACTAAGCACAAAGAGGGTAGGTTAATGAGGGCCACTCATCTAAAGCCCATAACACCAACAGGCTAACGGCTATAAAGCTTAAGAGGGCCGTCCTTCTCCCTGAGCACGCTGCATGAAAGCCTTAGTCCACAGGCTGAGAGGACTCCAAGTACTTCCAGAGTCCAAAATGTGTTGAAAATGTCTTTCAAGAGAGTCACCTCAGTATACAGGCAATGCAGCCTCAACAATAGGAGAAGTTGAACCCTGTAATTCTTCCATGAAAGAATCTCCAATGACATCTGAAACCTCTACTCAAAGCAGGATTCAAAGTCTACCTGAACCCTCTCTGCCCATTACATTCACAGCCCCTGAAGACATGAGGCTCCCGCAGATTCTTATCTTGGACCTAATGACCAGGCGTCAGGAACAGGGCTTATCTGCGTCGTTTCTAGGAGATAATTCAGGACTACACGACCTTTAGGGTACAGTACTTCCTCCTTTAAAACCAAAATGTGTTTTTAAGGATTTGGAGAAACAAAGTGTTTTCTTGAAGAAACTGATGTTCACGTACAATATGAAGCCTTGCATTTCCTGCCAAAGCAGTCAGGGGCTCCGCATACTGGCCCTTTGTTTGTCCTTTGTGTGTGTAGAAAAAGTTGGCTTGTCAGGCCAGTCAGGGAAACAAGAGGAGTTGTATTCATGGAGCCAGCCTTTTATGTAGAGCAGGTGACTACTCTGCAAGCCCTATAATTTAATGTAATATGGTTAAGGTAAGCTTTCACAAGAAGAATACAAGCGAGGGTGGAAGATTTCCACTGAGAGAACACAGAGGTCTACAAATATCTCCTGGAAGACACTAAAAGGAACTACTTTCTCAAACTTTTGTAAACCACTAAAGTTGTGTGAACTCAAATATTGGCCTTGGGGGTGGCTCCAGAAGAGCTGTATCCAGCTTTGCCAAACCTCACCTGTGTAACCTTTCGTGTCTTGGGCTCACTCGAGTGTGATTGAAAAAGAAAAACAATGCATTGATCAAGCCTGGATTCGGTCCTGCTTAGTGCAGTGCAGCGGAAACGCGCTGGAGAGAAGGCTAGTAGAAAAATCAATCACATATACATCATCCTTGGTGGGAGAGTTAAAAAAAAAAAAGACATCACACCGATGTCTGCCTGTCACGCATCCACAGGCCTGGCTCTCTGGGTCTCCCTGGCTCTGAGCTCACTGAACCCACTGAGCATGTGCAGAGGGAAGGTCAAAGCAATCCAGAAGTGAAGCTGGCTCCTCTAACCTTTGAGTTCAGGGGCATATGAGAACAATCAATGCCTACATCAAAGTTGTGGGGAGGAGCAGACAAACCCAATCGATTACTCTGACACACAGGGAAAAGGCTGCCTAGTGATAATCAGCAACATCCCTGGACATCCACAAACACGCTTTATTACAGACGATATTACACATATTTAAAACTAGGCACAATATCAAATCACTACTTTTTACAACATCACAATTATGCTGTAAAATGTTGATATATTGGTGATATATTGTAAAGCTTAGAATATGAGTTACAATACAAATATATTACAAATTCAGTATACAGAAAAATATTCTATATGCTGTATTCAGAATACTGTGTATTATGACTCTAACCAAATAGTCATCATCTACATTTCTGACTGAAAAAAACTGAAACATTTGAATTAGTAAAATACATAGTATGGCCAAAAGCCACACGATATGCAATGACACCTAATGAATGGAGGTCAGTGTAGGATCAGACAGACACAGTCACAGAGCCTGGCTTCCTGCGACCTGCACACTCCATGAAGTAAACAAGGACATCCGGAAAAGCTCTCAGAGGCATAGTGGGGTGTATGTGTGTGCAGAGTCTTTCTGTGCTGCCTTGGCAACCTTCGGAGGGAGCAAAAAGAGGAGCAAAAATAAAAGGGTCTGAGAGTTGGAGGGGGTAGTTGGACTGGACAGAATGGCGGGAAAATAATCTATTGGCTCTGCTGCTTGGTTCTGTGGTGGTACAGTTGGGGACTGAGAAAGTGGATGTGTAGCAGTGTTACAGCAGTACATGGCTTTGCATGTATTGACATGGTGATGTCAGCGATGCCAGACCAGGCTAAAGGTCTGTGCTTTAGCCTAACTCCACAACAGAGTGGCTGGGGTTATGTTAGCTACAGGGTGAGAGGTGACACAGCTCCAAATGAGCACTAAGCACTTGAAATGAGCCCTCTGGGCCAGCCCACAGACTGGCTTTGCCTAAGAGGGTTACCCATATCTCTCACAATGGACAATTTCCTTCAGCGGAGACCACTAAATATCTAACATATTTCATTTGTTTTTTACTGCCATTATAAATCATGGAATTTCTGCTCTGAAAAAATAAATACATGTACATATTTGCAAATCTTTTGTTCACAACAAAAGCAAGCCACTGACTAAATCCTACCAGCAAATTCTTTTGGTACAAACTCCCAAAGCTCCGCCATCAAAAGCATTCCAGTCGCGGTAACTGCTTGCTAATGACTGGAGTATTAGGTGCTAATTTAACGAGTCATTTCTTCCATAGAGTTTTAGCCACAGTCTCAAATGGCCTGTGTCACTGTACAGCTTAGAACTATGGGAAACTCAACACCTTGTTGTAACACATGATGGCTGGACTGGCACTTCCAATCAGATTACCCGTGTATGAACAATCAACCTGTACTCATGGAAGTGACATGATATTTACCTCTAACACAGACTTTAAGCAGTGGCAACAGGCGTTCACTCTGTAAATTAAGATCTGTTGTAGGTCAAGGGTGTATATACAGCAGGTTGTATTCCTGGGAAGATACAAAAATGGCTCCAGACAGAATAATATATTTCCTATGAATTGCAGAAATGTCATTGATGCAGAAGAAAAATATAGCAGGACCATTATTGTCATGGACAGTAGAGTCATCATGGAGAGTAAACATTGTGTCAATTCAATTTTACACAACTGGACTACTATAGTGCATCACTGTGTGCATCTGTCCAAGCACCAGGTCAATGTTCTACATTTCCAGTCTCATCTTTGCAAACATCCTAAGGTCAATATGGTAGCCCTGCATTTTGTAATTGGAATTGCTACACATTTCCCAGACTTCCTGGTCTTTTCACTCTCCTCCAGGTGCCATAATCCCTTGTACCTATAAAGTTACAAAGCAGATTGTGTGGGAAAATATTTGTTAGGCCCCAAGAAAGAAGCTTTAACACACCAAAATCCACAATATGGGGTGATGCGCCATCATATAGAAGCAGCCCATATTCATCTTATCACTGCTCATTTCAGACAAACAACTTGGGAAACTGCTACAATAAACTGCAAAACAATCTGTAACCCTAACCCACCTGTACTAAACGAACGCTGAGAAAACGCTCTACCTTTCACCCCTATTGTGACTCGAAAGAATGCAACAGGATCTCACTCTGTGTCAGAATCACCAGCTTAGAACTTGGTAGACAACTTTCCTGAACTCTTTTAGGCTATGGACTGGCACAAAATGAACATGGCTAATTTACCAAAATAAATAGACCTTACAGTATATCCTTTGGGGATAAGGAAGGGAATTTGTTGTGTTCACATACCAGAAACTGAGGATGTCATAATCTCAGATGGAAGGCAGGAGCCCACATGTAAAACTAGAAATATTCACCCAGGTCAACAAATCTGCATCTGATAGCAAATTCATCAAGAAGATGCGCAAGAAGAAGGAAGAATAATCAAAAATAATACTAGGTCACATGCATGGGGCCCATCTTGCCTTGTGGGCCTTTCGCATAACCAAATGGACAAAGCAGGGTCAAAGTGTAACTGCATTGGGGAGGGGGATTTGACTTGTTCTGGCCATCACCGTCTTCTGGGGCCTCCTCTCAAACCTGTCAAAGACCACTGACAGAAGACACAGCGTGAGGCCATTTTGTCTCTTTTCAGTTCATTTTTATTTCTCTGTATAAGTGTTGGTTTGGGCTGTAGGCATTTTGCAGGGCGAGAGGCTGAGGGCAGTCTGACTGGGAAGAGAAAAGGGTGGTGATGGTGGACAGGGGTTAGTGGGTGTTAGTTGGACTTGGGCACAGCCGGGGAGTGTGTTGAAGGCCCCGGGTGACATGGTGCCTGCGGAGAGGTGCAGAGGGAGAAAGGGCGGAGAGTACAAACATGTCTAAGTGCTGCTTTCACTGCATATAGAGCCATAGCAGAGCGGGAGGCTGCATGGGTTATGACAGCATATCTGGGGGACTGGTGGTGCCCTCAGACACATATTTTACAC